AGAAACATTGTTGAGAACAATACATGATATTGATGGTACGTTTTCTGATGTGTTTTTTTATCTTGCAGATTTTTTTAACGATTTCTAATGTAAATGTATCATGTATGAATTTGGAAACTAAATTATGTTAAATTTGAAAAATAATGTCACTGATGTGTTGTTTTTTACTTATACTTTTATTTGATAGGTTATATTCTAATCTATTGAGATGCAAAGTAATTTACTTTGTAAATATGGTATTATATTTATTTATATAATGCAAAATAATATACTTTTTAAATATGGTATATAAATGTATTTATATAAAGCATCATATTTCACATCCCTAATATTTATTATTTCTATTTTCAAATTATTTGATGAGTTATATCATTATTTTTTTTTAAGTGGTAAATTATATCTAAAATATCTATTTTCTCATTAAAAGTCAGTTTTTAATACAATATTGATATTGTCTTTTCATTTATGGTCTTAAATAGACTTTTCATTTATCAACATGATCTCCATCTTTTCATTTACCAACGTGAACGACATAATTATATTGAACTACGGATAATTAAACTACATGTTCTAAGACTATTATTATATAGGTTGAAAAAACATGTTATAATTGAAATATAATTGTTTCAATGTTCAAATAAATAGGGGTAGATTTTATGTATTTAATAATAAAAAATTTACACCTTTTAAATTGATTACAAAATCGATGACTATTATTATAAAATGAAACAATATTTATTGATTATTATTATTATTATTATTATTATTATTATTATTATTTATGTGTATTGTCAAAAGAAATCTTATGAGGTAAAAATAAAACAAAATTCATTAATCTGTTTTTTATCATCCTAAAATAATATAAACAGATTTATTTATTTTTAAAAGAAAAATATATGTTTAAAATGTGATAATAATTAATGGCGTTAAAGGCTAAAATATAAAAGTTATGTAGCAATGTGGCATACATACAAAAGCGTAAGACAATAAGTAATTGATTTTTTACTTATTCCTTTACAAAAAAAAATTAAATAGTTAAATTTGTTATTTAAGAGATTCGCAAAATCATATGTTTAAATGTTGAAACTTAACTGTGTTTAAATTTATTTTCTATTAGATGATAAAATCATACGATATCAATAGTATATACAAGTTTACAATACACAAGAATTTAAAAATTATAAGCATGTCCCACGGGCCGAACCTGTTTTTTTGATGTGTCAGCAAAATATTTACTTAAATTGAACACACATTAGAGATCATATTTAATGACTTCTGAATTAATATATCCTATAACTGCTTAATTTCTACACAAATTTAACAAACATAATATTATTCAATTTATTAAATATAGTTAAATTATTATAATTTCAATTGGTTACTAAACCAATATGTTTTTTTTTATAATATGTTTTATTTTATAATGTTTGTTAATAGAAATTGTAAAATTAAAATTATAAGTAATTATAAAACCTATAGGCATGTTTGACGAGTCAAATTTATTTTTCCACCATATATTTGGTTTAATAGCAATTACTAAATCTATGTATATCATGACAACTATTACAACTTGATAAAATAAATTAATATTTAAATGATAATCATCATTGAAATCTTTTTTTCTGTTAATTCATATATACTATTTTTATATAAATTTATTAACCATAACAATATAATATTTATTAAATATTTATATCGATATGATATTTATTAAATATTCATATTAAATTTTCGCAACCCGGGCGAACACACAGATCATTTACTAGTTCATTACAAAACAAACATGTACATTTTATGTTCACTCATTTATCTAATATTAGTACTACATCTCCACAAGCTATTGTCACTTAGTTATCTACTTTAATATATAAAAATTAATTATTACTAAAAGTATTTAATTATCCAAACTAAATCTGCTTTAAGTGTGTTTTTTATGCCCCTAAATATAATTATCTATTAAAAACATTCATTTACCTTAAAATCTAATTAATCATAATATGTTTATTGGAATAAATAATATTGTAGACTATAATACGTAGTCTTCATCATTTCCAGCATTGGGAAATACCACTTATTTGATGGCATTGTGTTTAAAACAGTAACGTTCCAATTCCTAAACCTATATCTATAAATTCATTCTCCTAACCTACATTTACCTAACACTTTCTTTTCTATTAATCAATTTCATTCTATCAAGCAGCAGAGTCTACTTCTCTTTCCATCTTCTCCATCTATTTTCTCCGCCATTATTCGAATTCAAAATACTTCTTCAATTATATTTTTTTTCTTTACTTAATATTTGAAATCATTTTGATGATCACGTAAACTTATTACATAGATGTAAGAGATTTTAGGTTGGCAATGGAATGAACTGCATTTTGAAAGTTTATTTTGTAATTTAAACTATAACATAAATTAGTTTCTCACATTTGTATGTTTGTATCTCACCAAAATTTATTTTTCGTGGTTGTGGAATGTACTTTTTTTTTTTGCAAAGTTTTGATGATTCTTTTCACTTTTAATATTTTGAAGAAAACATTCTTGAGAATAATACATGATATTGATGCTATGTTATCTGACGTGTTTTTTTTTTATCTTGTAGAGTTTTTTAACGGTTTCTAATGTAAATGTCTATGTATGAATTTGGTTACTAAATTATTATAAATTTGAAAAATAATGTCACTGATGTGTTGTTTTTTACTGATACTTTTATTTGATAGGTTATATTCTAATCTATTGAGATGCAAAGTAATTTACTTTGTAAATATGGTATATACTTATTTATATAATGCAGAATAATTTACTTTTTAAATATGGTATATAAATATATTTATATAAAGCATCATATTTCACATCCCTAATATTTATTATTTATATTTTCTAATTATTTGATAAGTTATATCATTATTTTTTTTTAAGTGGTAAATTATATCTACAATATTGTTTTTCTCATTAAAAGTCAGTTTTTAATACAATATTGATAATGTCTTTTCATTTATGTTCTTAAATAGACTTTTCATTTATCCACGTGATCTCCATCTTTCCAGTTACCAACGTGAACGGCATAATTAAATTGAACTACGGGTAATTAAATTACACGTTCCAAGACAATTATTATATAGGTTGAAAAAACATGTTTATATTGAAATATAATTGTTTCAATATTCAAATAAATAGGGGTATATTTTATGTATTTAATAATAAAAATTTTACACCTTTTAAATTAATTACAAAATCGATGACTATTATTATAAAATGAAACAATATTTAATCATTATTATTATTATTATTACTATTATTTATATTATTATTATTATTATTATTTATGTATATTGTCAAAACAAATCTTATGAGTTAAAAATAAAACAAAATTCATTAATGTGATTTTTATCATCCTAAAATAATATAAACAGATTTATATATTTTAAAAAGAAAAAATATGTTTAAAACGTGACAATAATTAATGAAGTTAAAGGCTAAAATATGAAAGTTGTGTTGCAATGTTGTATACATACAAAGCGTAAGATAATAAATAATTGATCTTTTACTTATCCTTTAAAAAAATATTAAATAGTTAAATTTGATATTTAAGAGAGTCGCAAAATCATATGCTTAAATTTTGAATCTTAACTGTGTTTAAATTTATTTTCTATTAGATGATGAAATCATATGATATCAATAGCATGCATAAATTTACAATACACATTTAAATATTATAAGCATGTATGACAGGCCGAACCTGTTTTTTCGACGGACCGACAAAATATTTACTTAAATTGAACACACATTAGAGATCATATGTTTAATGACTTCTGAATTAATATATCCTATAACTTCTTAATTTCTACACAAATTTAACAAACATAATATTATTCAATTCATTAAGTATAATCAAATTATTATAATTTTAATTTGTTATTTAACCAATATATATTTTTTGTGTATAATATGTTTTATTTTATAATCTTTGTTAATCGAAACTGTTAAATTAAAATTATAAGTAATTATAAAAATTATAGGCATGTTCGACGAGTCAAATTTGTTTTTTCACCATATATTTGGTTTAATAGCAATTATTAAATCTATGTATATCATGACAACTATTACAATTTGATAAATTAAATTAATATTTATATGACAAACATCATTGAAATCTTTTTTTCTGTTAATTCGTATATATATTTATATAAATTAATTTCATAACTATAACTATATAAAATTTATTAAATATTTATATCAATATAATATTTATTAAATATTCATATTGACTTTTCGCAACCCGTGCAAACACACGGACCATTTACAAGTTCATTACAAAACAAACGTGTACATTTTATGATTACCCATTTCTCTAATATTAATACTACTTCTCCACATACTATTGTCACTTGATTATTCATTACAAAACAAACGTGTATATTTTATGTTCACACACTTCTCTAATATTAGTAATACATCTCCACATGCTATTGTCACTTAGTTATCTATTTTAATATATAAAAATTAATTATTATTAAAAACTTAATTATCCAAACTAAATCTATTTTAAGTGTGTTTTTTATGCCCCTAAATATAATTATCTATTAAACCCATTCATTTACCTTAAACTATAATTTAATCATAATGTATTTATTGGAATAAGTAGTATTATAGACTATAATATGTAGTCTTCATCATTCTCAGCATTGGGAAATAGCACCAATTTGATGGCATTGTGCTTAAAACAGTAACCCGTCCAATTCTTGTATCTGCATCTATAAATTCATTCTCCTAACCTATACTTACCTAACACTTTCTTTTATATTATTCAATATCATTCTATCAAGCAGCACGGTCTGCTTCTCTTTTCATCTTCCCCGTCTATTTTCTCTGACATTATTCATATGCAAAATACTTCTTTGATTATATTTTTTTTCTTCACTTAATATTTGAACTTATGGCATAGATGAAAGTTGATTTTGTAATTTCAACTATAACATAAATTAGTTTCTCACATTTGTATGTTTGTATCTCATCAAAAATTACTTTTCGAAGTTGTGGAATGTACTTTTTTTTTGCAAATTTTGATGATTCTTTTCACGTTCAATATTTTGAAGGAAACATTGTTGAGAATAATACATAATATTGATGATAAGTTTTCTGACTGGTTCTTTTATCTTGCAGGTTTTTTAACGGTTTCTAATGTAAATGTATCATGTATGAATTTGGATACTAAATTATGTTAAATTTGAAAAATAATGTCCTTGATGTGTTGGTTTTTACTTATATTTTTATTTGATGGGTTATATTCTAATCTATTGAGATGCAAAGTAATTTACTTTGTAAATATGGTATTTATTTATTTATATAATGCAAAATAATTTATTTTTTAAATATGATATATAAATGTATTTATATAAAGCATCATATTTCACATCCCTAATATTTATTATTTCTATTTTCTAATTATTTGATGAGTTATATCATTATTATTATCTTTTTTAAGTGGTAAATTATATCTAAAATATCAATTTTCTCATTAAAAATCAGTTTTTAATACAATATTGAGATTGTCTTTTCATTTATGTTCTTAAATAGACTTTTATGTATCAATGTAATCTCCATCTTTCTATTTACCAACTTGAACGGCATAATTATATTGGACTACGGCATAATTATACTGGACTACGTGTAATTAAATTACACGTTCCAAGACTATTATTATATAGGTTTAAAAAATATGTTCAGATTAAAATATAGTTGTTTCAATATTCAAATAAATAGGAGTAGATTTTATATATTTAATAATAAAAATTTACACCTTTTAAATTGATTACAAAATCGATGACTATTATTTTAAAATAAAACAATATTTATTTTTTTATATTATTATTATTATTATTATTATTTATATATATTGTGAAAACAAATCTTATGAGTTAAAAATAAAACAAAACTCATTAATGTGTTTTTTATCATCCTAAAATAATATAAGCAAATTTATTTATTTTTAAAAGAAAAATTTATGTTTAAAACGTGACAATAATTAATAAAGTTAAAGGCTAAAATATGAAAGTTGGGTTGCAATGTGGCATACATACAAAAGCGTAAGACAATAAATAATTGATCTTTTACTTATGTATTTATAAAAAAAAATTAAATAATTAAATTTATTATTTAAGAGAGTCGCAAAGTAAATTATTGTCACTTGCTATTGTCACTTGTTATTTATTACAAAACAAACATGTACATTTTATGTTCACTCATTTCTCTAATATTAGTACTACATCTCCACATGCTATTGTCACTTGTTATTTATTACAAAACAAACGTGTATATTTTATGTTCACTCATTTCTCTAATATTAGTACTACATCTCCACATGATATTGTCACTTAGTTATCTACTTTAATATATAAAAATTAAGTATTATTAAAAGTATTTAATTATTCAAACTAAATTTGCTTTAAGTGTGTTTTTTATGCCCCTAAATATAATTATCTATTAAAAATATTCATTTAACTTAAAATCTAATTAATTATAATGTGTTTATTGGAATAAGTAATATTATAGACTATAATACGTAGTCTTCATCATTTCCAGCATTGGGAAATACCACTTATTTGATGGCATTGTGTTTAAAACAGTAACGTTTCAATTCCTAAACCCGAATCTATAAATTCATTCTCCTAACCTACATTTACCTAACACTTGCTTTTCTATTAATCAATTCCATTCTATCAAGCAGCACGATCTACTTCTCTTTTCATCTTCCCCATCTATTTTCTCCTCCATTATTCGAATTCAAAATACTTCTTCGATTTTGGATGGCATCTTTAAGCCCATCTTCGACGACTCTCCGTCATACTCCTTGGATGGAATCTTTAAGCCCATCTCCAATAGTCTCCTATCATCTTTTCCAAATGGCATCTATAAGCCCATTCCTGATATTACCTACACAGCCAGGTATCATTTTAGACGAGTGCAAATTTCTGGTCACTCTAGTGTTCAAATCATCTTCCACCTTCAGATCACGAAAGGCAGACAAGTCAATCTATATCTTCATGTTTAAGAAGATTGAATAGGATAAACTGTTATACCCCAAAAATTTCCCTCTCATTTTACTCAACACATGCCTATTGAGATCCTTAACTTTCCCAAGGATGCCCAAGAATTGATCAGACAAATTCTCCTCCTAAAGCAATGAACCCTCAACTAGGGTTTCCATTTTCATCAAGATGTTTGAGCTCCAATGATCTCCAATTCTTCCCATGGTCCTAATATATCCTCAAGATCATCCATGCCAAGTTTCACGCCTTGCACAAGAATATTGTTCAATCAACTGCTCAAATGCTTGAAAATCAATTGTACTAGGTCAAAAGTCAACTGTGACCCACATACAGTCAAACTTCGAGATTTTTGGTTAACATCAATATTTTGAAGTGATATCCATCATTTGATAAAGGGTTGATCATGATTCCTCAAGGAATGCTCCTAATTCATCAAAACTAAAAAGTTGCTAAATTAGGGTTCCTATAGGAAAAGTCAACCAAACTTTGACCAGGCATAACTTTCTCATACTTTATCAGAAATTGCCCATCCAAGGCTCATTTTGTAGAGATCCAATTCCCTGCAACTTATCTACAACCCTCAAGTCCAAGAAATGCACCATTTGAAAGATACAAGGTTAGCCATTATAGGTCCTTCCAAAAAGTCAACAAAAACACCTTTTGGGTCAATGCCTTTTACATGAACATGGAAGATCCAATGGATATGAAACCAAAAGGATTGTTTAGAGGACATCCTAAGCGTTCTAAAAAGTCCAAGAACACCCTCTTAGGGTCAAAATTGAGAGAGATATGCATTGTCAAAGTTGTCCATTTTTGGAAATTTGCACAAAGTCAACAATGCCCAAAATTGCATTTGTCCACATGAGCCCATCTTTTCAAGATTGAATCTCAGTCCTGGCATGGTCCACGACCTATGGGACCCTCCATGCCTTATTTATTTATTTAATTTATTTTGATTTTTGTTCATTTAAAACTCAAATAAAATCAAATAAATCCAAATAAATCACATAATTTGTTTTAGGAATGATTTTTGTATTGAATGGAGATCTCATATGCTGTCAATAGCCAAAGAAATCGTGCAAGGCCAAATGGACACATAATATCCTCATATGGCAACTTTTCAAGATTTGATTTTTTCTTAAAATCATGCCATTAACCTTTGGTTCTTGCCACAAATATTACCCTAATCTGATTCACTATATATGCCAATATATTGCAACCCTAGAAGAAAAGTTTCAGATGCACAACTACCTCTAAGAGAAAGATCAAAGTGTCAATTTTTTGGGTCCAAAAAGTGAAGATCAGATTCCTTTCCACAGGCGAGTTCAAAGCATTTCAAGGACTAAACAACAATCCTTGGACCTCTGGGAAGTTACCATACTCATTCCCCAAACCTGAAGCCATTGGAATCACGCCCACCATTCATCACGGTTTGTGTATTTCTTTCAAATCCAATTTCACTGATGCATCCATCATAAACATATTTTGTTTATATCTTTGTGTTTGGTATCATGTTTACAACATGCTGGAATGGTTTAATTGGAGTTTGAGTGCAGGTACAGTCGTTTTCCATAGTTAGGGTTCCAAAGCTTCAAATTGGAGAACCCTAGCTAGAGGCGAAAATTGGCCAAATTAAGGGCCTCTTCGTATTCAGGGGATGATTTGCAGTCGACCCATGTCTTTAGATGGAATTTATTTTGCTTGAGTTGTGTTTTAGAGTTTTGCAGATTTGTAGCTACAATAAAAAACTGTCACTATAGCCTATAGTGACGGATTAGACTGTAGGTAAAAGTGTTTGGTCTAAAACAACAGGCTGTTGGAGAAGATGATGGTGTGGCTCGAGGAAGCTTACTGATTGGCTCATTCAAATAGAAGGGACCCACCAAAAGGCGCGCGCGTGACTGCTGGGCATAATGCTCTATTTACCTTATATTTATTTTGTTTAATTATGTATATGAATGAGTTAACAACGCAAATGGAAAAGGAGCAAGCATGTGAAACCAAAGACCTGGGTTCGATCCCAGAAACCAGCAATTTTGCATTTTTCCAATATTGCTTGTAGGTTCCAGTGTGTGACATTCAGCGCGTATACCTTGCGCTCTCAAGATCTAACCATTGGATCTTCCCAAGATCAGATCCGGCGCCCAATCAACTAATCCCCATGGTGAACCCCCAGATGAGAGCCTCACTGAATCACGCGTAAGGCAGATAGGCCAGCCATCCTGGGCCTAACACAAATTCAGCAAGGCACCCCCCAGTTTGCCATTTCATACCAGAACTATTTTAATTCTTTTAATTTCTTTATTTAATTATTGGTTTTTTAATAACTTTACAAAAATCATAGTTTTTAAAATCACAAAAAAAAAATCACAAAACATTAGAATTAAGTTTTTTTTCTTAAAGTAATTAATTTCATTAATTGATTAAATTAGCTTAAATTAGGATAATTTAATTCCCTTTTCATAATTAAAATCAATTAGAGATTAGTTTTAATTTGCAAAAATTAATTATTTTTCTCAAATAAAAAATGCAAAAAATATTTTTCTTCTAAATCAATTAGATTTGTTAAACTTTAATTCCTCGTATTTAATTCCATCGCTCGTAATTTAAACTGTTAGGTGTATGTGTTGGATTGTATGCAAAAGAACAATTAGGTTTTCTTTTCCGCTTTTAATTTCTGCAATTATAAACAGTTAGATGTATGTGTTGGATTGTATGCAAAAGATCAATAATTTAAAACAATAGAAAACTCTAACTGTGCAAAGATAAACAAACTGAAATCAAACACTTGCACATGCGCACCCCTAGGGTAATCTCCGACTTTGGTTTCCTTCGGAAAACGGTCACTATTCTCGAAATGTGAGAATTTTTAGTGGTTGTCCTCTAATTCGAAAGATCACTAGTCCCTCGATGACCCTTTCGACGTGGCCTTGGTAAAAAAGTGATCTTAGAACTTTAGGATATTTACTAAGAGATCTTGCCCTGTTACCTTAATTGATTGTAATCGTCCCTTTTGATTGTCCCTCAAACTCCAGCGATGGAGCTACCTACTCCTTAATAGTAGGATATCACTATCTAAAGGAAATAAGAAAATGAACAGTCTTTTTCGAGTAGGTAGAAACTCTTAAGTACTTGCTCAAAACAATAACTTTTTACACCTTACATTTTCACACTCT